TGCGATTTGACGTGGAATGGCCCATATATATATATATATAGGCCATTTCATGCCTTGCATACTTTCTTCCCTGTATATCTCAGATTATTTAAAATTTTCATTGGTTAGTAGACCTTAATACAAAAAGCCGAGAAAAAACTTGAAAAAGTGAATTCCCTTCCAAGTTATACCTCCTGAAAGTTGCAGAATTTTACCAGATCGCCGCTAGAAATGCCTAACTTCACAGACTTGTAATTTAGCATGTCTTCAATAGAATTTAACGGTTTTCTATTCATTAGATTTATAATTCCTGAATTATTAAACGCATGTTGAATGCTTTAATTTTGATAATAAATCACATAGCTACAGTAAAAGTAATATTTCAGACAAACATAGAAAAAAAACATGTCTTCAAATTTTCTGGAAAAGACATTTTTTGTGCAGGATTTTTTGCTCTACAACATATCAAATTTTGGTGATGGCGATTTTTTGGCGTTGAGTAAACTACGAGCCATAAAGGAGTGAGAAAGTGAAAAAACTGCTGTTTTCACAGTAATCCCATGTATTTTCCATGACGAAACCATCCTGAACCGTTTCTGAAAGCTGCAAACGCCTGCTATAATGTGCTGTGAACATTGAAAATTTGTTATAAAAGTTGTATTTTCAAAATATTAACAGATTGTTATTCTGCGTGTAAGGACTGACCATTTCTGTGCCTTCTACTCCTTGTATTTTCTTCTGTTAAAATTGTACACTAATACGCATTTCGAAGTCACGAAAAAGTCTGAAAACCTATTGCTTCACCTGGTTGGCTGCTGGGTTAAGACTCACCTGGATTTTCTCTGTTTCTGCAGAACCAAAGCACATAATTTCAAAGAAGAAACAACAAGTTCAGCCTATGCAACCAAAACTTTAACATGTCCAGTCTGAACTTTATTTTAAGAGTCTAGAAACTACAAAATGCAAGAAACAGAAAATAATAAGATGAAAACACTTCCTCATAATTCTTACAACCCTAAAAAGATTGAAGTCATGTTTTTTTTCTAAGTTTGTTTGAAATATTACTTTTACTATATCTATGCGATTTTTTATGAGAATTAGAACATTTTGTATGCATAGTAAAATTAAGCTGCTAAAAAATTAGTTCCTATTGATGCTCTTTTCGCACATGTGAAATCTAACAAATGTAAAACTGTTAAATACTACTGAGGACGTGCTAAATTACTAGTCTGCAAAGTTAGGCTTGTCAAGCGGCAATTGGCAAATTCTGCCACTTTCGGGGGGATATAACTTGGCGGGGAATTCACTTTTTCAGTTTTTTCTCAATTTTCTGTATATTGACTCAGACTCTACTAAACAGCGAAATTTAAAAAAAATCTAAGATATGAAAGGAGAAGAGTGTGCAATTTGGCATGGAATGGCCCATATATATAAATGCTGAGTGTGAATTATTTTTTATTGCCTGATTCTAGCATGGATCTTACTTAATTTTAAGATGATTTCAAGAAGTCAGCAGCCAATCAAGCGTTGTCAGCAGTAAAAAGGTCAAGAGGAAAAAAGTTCCATTGTAGCTACTGCGAGCGCTTTAAAAGTCGATAGCTGCTTGGCTACTCCAAATTTTGTGGCCGGTATTGAAAAAGTGTCGTGATTTTTCTTACACGTTTTAGTCTTTTATCAGACACGAATAGTAAAATGAGCTGCTAAAAAACTAGTTCTTGTTGATGCTCTTCTTGCGCAGGTTTTCTTGCCCAAAACTTAATTGACTGCTTGCAGCTGTTATTATTGAAAATTTTTCTCTGTTTTACTCCAGTGAAGAGGATGCTTTGTTGAGTTATGCTGACATTAGAAATTTTCAACAAGTATGGAATATGATCGATATCGAGCAGAAGGTTCAGTTCAACAATTTTTTCCATTTCATCTCAGCAAATGTTTTATTTTGCTTACCCGGGACTGTTCATTTTATTTTTTGCAATCCTCACTTTGCTTCATTCCAATTTTAGCGAACTATTCCTGTCAGAAGGGTGAAGTTTCTTCTCCGGCTGTTGAAGGGACGTCTTGAAGTAGACCCTAATAAAGATCGCCTTTTATTCAAACATATGTGTCATGAAATGTATCGTCTGCACAATGGAGACGATATATCTTTCCACGATATACTTAAGTGAGCGTTAAGCTTCTTCGTATGTGATAAACTCTGTGAATTATGCTTCTTTTCTTCATTCTGTTAGCTAGTCTTTCTTTACTGCTTTGTGACAGAAAAGACAAAAAAAAATTTACTTTGCCATCAGTTGCATTTTTTAAAGGAATTCTAAAATTTTCTTTAGTATGTTATCCTATCGAAGCGTCGACATTCGAAAGTCACTACAACTTGAGGAGCTTTTACAGCGAGAAGAACTTGAATATATAATTGAAGAAGAGGTTGCTAAACAGACAATCCGTTCTTGGCTTGAGGGTTGTCTGCGGAGGATAAAAGCACAGCAGAATGTTGTTATTAAACAGTTTAATTTTTATACTTTTTTGCATGCCGTTTTGGATCTACATATTTCGTTTTCTTCAGACTCAGCTTTGTTTCAACCAGCAGTTGGCAACTCCGTTATCGATCCAGACAAATCAGTTACCTATTGGTTTGAGGGAAACAACAGAAAAAATCACTGATGTCTTAGAACCTGAGGCAGAAGAAAATATTAAAAAAAAATACCCTAAAAAGTCACACAGAAGTAGTATTCCTGAGCTCGTTGGGGTTTGTTTTTATTTAGAATCATAACTTAAAAGAAGATAAAAGGTTTTAAACATCATCAGCTTTCCAGGAAGCCAAAAAGTTCATATTCAGTGGAGGAAGTATAACAAAGCAAAAAACTTCATCGTCTGAACGACTACACCAGATAAATGATCGTAGTATAAAATCTGCTTCCTGTGGGGAGAAGTCACCTTCAAGCCTAACTGGTCGTAACGAAAAGCGAGCTTCAGTAATGCAGGTTGAAAATTAAATAGATGAATCTGTTTCATATCCAGATGCAGTCAAGAAATGTCTCTTTTGGAAAGCAGATTTTAAATGTGTTCTAAAATCTTTGAAAGTAAGTGGAGTAAATGTAAAAAAACTGAAACTGCATTTTCAGACATCTGAATTACCAAATCTAGAAGAGTACAGTGAGGACAGTCCGGAAGCTACAAGTGGTGACAATCGTCGCCATTCTACTGAGGGCACCGTTCCAGCTGGGAAAGGTAGACCCTACAGCCTAAATTCGGTTTTTCCAGTTTTGGAAATTAAGTTTATTTTGTTGACTTGCAACGCTCTTTAAAGCAAAAACTGTCTGCTGGTATGCTAGAAAACTTACCATGCGCCAAGTTTTTTTCCTTATCTCATATTTGTAAAACCCAGTGTAAATGGTTTATATATGTATATTATAGGGTCAAGCTATAATATACCTGTCACTTTGAGCACTCCGTCATTCAGTGGTATGACCGGAGATTTAGACCGAACTTTTGACGTTAAAGAATGGTGGTCGAGTCTAGAAAAGAATACAGAGTGATATTTTCTTAATGCATTGTAATTCCACTTCCTTGTTCCTTCTTTCAATTTGCTCAATTTGGAAAGATATTTTAGCGGACTATGCATGTTTGATCTCATTCTTTATCGTATTCCACTTATGATACGAGGTTAAATAGTTACTTCTTAAAAGCAATTATGGTTGTTGCACATGATGTTCAGAAACAAATAATGCGTAGCGGCCTTCGAGCAATGACTGTAAAAAATGCTTGATATCTTTGCAGAATCAACACAGTGGAACAAGCTGCAATTTCCATACACAGTCATTTCAGCATAATTTTATTATTTCCCCGATACTTACCTAACACCTCCGTAATCATCTGAGCAAAATAACGTTTTTTTTCTCTAAGGAAACGGGAGTGCTGAGTTCTAAAAAAAAGTTAGAATACCAAGCTTACCTCATGCAGTTTAGCGCTAGCGACTTGACATGCACCGCCACTTTGCAGAGTGCAAGCTGTCAGTGCGTTTAGTTTTTGAGCAAAGGCAATTACGCAGAACGGCTTCTAACTATACCCCAGCTGCGCTTATCGTTTCCTCAGGCTTCGAATCACACGTGAGGTCGATAAGACACAGATAAAAAAAGATCAAAGCAGTTTCTTTGCAAACAGTTCATCTAGAAAGCAATGAAAAAAAAAATGAGCAATTTCCTTTTAGAGACCGACGAGCAGCTGTTGAAACATAGGAGACCAAAACTTTGTTACTACCAATAAACCACTATTCGCGATGAGCATATTCCGTTAAATTTACATGTTTTTGTAGACAACCAAATAACCACATATTTCTTATTACTAAACTCTGCAAAAATTACGACCAGTTCAATCAAAGAGCAAAGAGCGAAAAACTTTTACAAAAGCGATTTTCATTGGTTTTTACTTGATAAAAACAATTACCAGTAAGCATGGTAAAACTTTCCGTAAAAGCACCAAACACAAAATACGGTTGAGTTTTAGCCTTGCTAGAAAATCTTAAAACTTATTCTAACCCTAACTCTTTCTTGTAAAGCGGAACTGATTTAAGCGATCTGCCTTACCCAAATAGGGAATTTAGAAGTATGAGCACTATTATAATTATTAGAAGCAATTTAGTGCTATTTTAATTTCTCTCTTTTTCTAAAGAAAAGAAACGACGAATTTATGTGCAAAGATCTTAGAAATATCTTTGTATAACTTTGAAAAGCAGGATTTCTAAAGATAAGTTTATTCCACTGTAATCGGACATGAAGTACTCACAATGATACGCACTTATTTACTCATTTGACGCAACTGTTCCATATGTAGATAATTTATTAACATGAAATATAAACATCAGGATGTTTTGAAGAAAGTAATTCAACTTGACTGCACTGGTAGTAATAAATCTAAAAAGCCTTTCATTTTTTTTTTTACCAAAGTAAAAGCTTCAACAGCCGACAATATTAAATCTGTGTAAAGTATTTAGAAGGCAACTATTCATCCACTCTTCTGAAAATGTTCAGCGAAGTTACCATAAGTAATGCATACTGGACAAAAATAGCGGATATTTTTTACTTATGAAAATAGCAAAGCTACTTTTACTGGCAAACAGCAAACAATGTTTGCATTTTTACAAGCCCCTCCATGTAAACTCATTTGCCTCCGCTTTGAACCTAAGCCGCAAAACACGTTATTGAAGGTTCTTCTTATTATGTCTTGATTCCAAGCATATTACTCCTACCTGTGATTAGTACACTAAAAGCATTCCTGAGTGATATGAAACTAAACTCCGGGTTTATTTTTGAGGCCACTTCCAAGAAAGCTCTATAGGAACAGAAGTTACAAGCAAAACCTTATTAAAAACCCATAACTTTGCCAAAGCGCTTTTCCGATAACCAACTTTTCCTTGTCTTTTCTAATATTTCGGTTCCTCTCAAGTCAAAAAAAAAAAAAGATTTTCTAGTGAGATTTTATACTGCTTCTCGGCAGGCTTTGCCATCGTCATCGGTCCAGAACAAAAAAACCAAGAAACTTCCAGGCCTTACCTCATAACCTCCGCGAAAAATAAGAAAAAGCTGATGAAAGAAAAAAATAAGAGAAAAATAGAAGAAAAATCATTTGAAGCCTTCCCTGTAACAGCTAACAATTCTCCTAACAAAAGTGAAGGGTTTGAAACTACAAAGGCCATTAGCACCCAAAAGATCGGACATTTTCTAATAACTCTAATTAGCTAAACCCCAACTTGACACTAGTCTTATATATAATAGTGAATTTTTGTTAAACAACGATGTCCAAAAAACTAGACTACGGTCGAGCTAAAAATTTTCATTTTTTAAAATCTGTCATATTTTCAGGAAGACTATATATCCAAATTGATGGCCCCCGAGTTCATGAAATTTTAGCTTCTTCAGCGCATCCTGGTTTAAGCAGCGAGGAATGATTCATGGAAAAAACCAATTTTTCTTAAAAACTACTTAATAGATATATTAATACACTTTCTGACTTCAAAACCAAAAGTGTATTTCGTACGAATTCCTAAAAGTAGTGTGTAATTCCAAGTTTTACACCATTAGGACCCCCCAAATATCAGAAGAGCATCAGTTTGAAACCTGAGTAACATTGCCTAACAAAAAAAAATTACAAAAAGATTGTAGAGAGCAAAGCGGCAGTAGGCAGAAGCAAAGAAATCCAATTACAAATCAAAATGGAAAAAAAAAAAATTTGATCACCCCAGAAATCAGATTATCTGAGCGGTAATCAAGTAAATTAATTCATTGAAAACTACTGCAGAGCTTTAGTTTTTGATTTAAAAATTTGAAAGGGCGAGTCGTGAAGATTCCAAGAAGTATATTTCATGCAACTGTAAGTGCTACACCTAAAGACCTTCCGGCCGAGAACAAGTTGGCTAATATAAAGAGCAAAATTAAATCTTTCTGGAATTTAGCCAAATTTGGGTTTCTTTCGTGATGAGAGCAGAAAACAAAACGACTATGCACCTCACAGCCGATATATTAAATCTGTAGAGCGGCTTTTGCTTTGATGTCTGGTTTTTGACCATCATGTCCGGTCAGTGTCCAGCTGAAATCTAACTTTTTGAAGTCAGGTGGGATTTGTCTGCACTTATGCTGCTTTATAGTACAGCACTTCGTACTTACTCAGGAAATGGTTTCTTAGTCCTCTTCTGCAGGACTGCTTCACAGATAATTCTGAAACATTTTGAAAAATTACGTGTCCGCTCTACGGGGAGTCAAGATGATTTGGGTCAGTAGTAATACAGTATGGATAACTGTAAACAGTCCACTATTTGAAAACTTCTTTTACACCGCATCAAAAAAAAAAAAAAAAAATATTGCTCTCTAAAAAGAGACAAATGTCAAGAAATCTGTAATTTATAACACTGCCCAGGTTATAATTGTTTTCTGCAACTCTTCTCGTTAATCTTCAGAGTTTCAGTTCCATTTAGAATTAGACTAGGCAAAAACCTGAATATTGGGAAGCAAGAGAATCATAGAAAGGAGTCAAAAATTTTAGTTTTTGAGCGACATTAAAACGCCCGTGGAAGGTAACACCGTTTCGCTTTCCCCCCTACCTTGTCCGCTTCCCGCCATTTGAAGACGCCTGCCACCTGCGTAGTCAATAAGTGGATGCATGAGTTGTCCCCTAACACATCGCCGAACAACTGTTCTTCTGCCCTTATCGTGTTTAGCAATCCGGTTTCTTTTTTCCTGATAGTCGTGTTGAATCATTGATAGTTGCGGTGAGTCACCACAAAAGATAACCTCTGACAGAGAAATTGTAGGAAAAAGTGCAGTCGCGCAACCCAGTTATAGTTTTCATTTCATTCTCCAGTTTCGTGCTACAACGAACGTTTCTTTTTCTTTAGCGAAATTTCTTTATTTTTAGGGATTTCTTCAGTAATGTTCCTACTTACTATGTGCATATAGTGTTTTTTCCAGTGATGGCTTTTCTTTTAAATTCTCTGCTTCTGGATTTTTCAGAGTTTTTTGTTTTATATGTTTCAAGTGAATGAATACTTTCTGTAAAAAAGAAAAAAAAAAAAAAAA